GGGCAGCGGCAGCCTGCTCAGTGCGTCGGCATGGCCCATCGCCTTGCCCCGGAGGTGTTCCAGGTGGTACTGGTATCCAGCCAGGAACAGCGACCACCTGAGCACCCGGGGAGACAAGACTTGGGGCATTTGCTTGTCGACAGCCAAGAGGCCTAAGAGCGGCTTATGGTCCATAACAATTGTGAAGGGGCAGCCGTAAACGAAGTTGTGGAATTTTTTCACCCCCGCTACAATTGCCAACCCCTCCCGGTTGATTTGCGCATAGTTACGCTCCACGGCCGTTAAAGTTCATGAGTAATAGGCCACGGGAACCTCGTGGCCATCAGGAACAACGTGGCCGAGCACAGTGCTGACGCCATAGGGAGAGGCGTCGCAAGCAAGGACAACCGGGAGGGATTCGTCAAAATGGGCAAGTACATCGTTAGAAATTAAAAGCGCCTTTACCCCTCTGAACGCTGCCACCTCCCTCGGGCCCCATGACCAAGGGGCCAACTTATCCAGCAGCCGGTGAAGTGGCTCTGCATTCGCAGCCTTGTGTGGCAACAAGGTGTGGTAAAAATTTATTTGTCCCAAGAACGCCTGTAGTTCCACTTTGCATGTGGGGGCGGGAGCTTCCATGATGGCCTTCACCTTGTCCTTCGCCAGATGAAGGCCGGTAGCATCTACCCTGAACCCCACAAAAACTCCACCTCCGAAACCCCGAGGAGGCACTTCTCCTGTTTCACTTTGAGGCCAGCCGAGTCAAAGCGTTGTAGGACGGCGCGGAGGTGGGAGGCGAAGTCGTCGGGGGATGCCGCGGCAATCAAGATGTTGTCGAAAAACGGCGTCACTCCAGGGATCCCTTTTAATAAGGAGTCCATTAGTTGTTGAAAAATCCCCGGGGCTACGCTCACGCCAAATTGTAGCCTCTTTACCTTAAAGGCCCCCTGTGGGTGACTATGGTCTGCGCCGTGGCCGTGGCCTCGTCGACCGGCAGCTGTTGATAAGCTTGTGCCAGGTCTAGTTTCCCGAAAATCTTAGCTCCCGCTAGCGAGGCCAGAACATGACTAACGACCGGGACTGGGTAGGAGTGGTCGTGGAGGGCCTTATTAATTGTGCATTTGTAGTCCGCACAGATGCAGACTTCACCGTTTGGCTTGAGGGGGGTCATGATGGGCGTTTCCCAGATAGCCACCAGGGGGTCTAACTGTAAGGAGACTGGGGGGCCCTTGTAGCAACCTAAAGCCCCATCGAAAACAGCCGGGAACTCCACGCAAATCTCTGAAAAATCCCGCAGACCACATTTAAGTACTCCCCCGACCCCCACTGTGATGCCCAGCGGCGCAAGCCAGGCCCGGCCCAGCAGACTGACTAGATTTCCCTCCACCAATATCAGGTCCAACAGTCCCTCGAACCCCTGGAACTGTACCCGGAACGTCCCCACCCCTCTGATTGGAACCGGGTTCCTTTGGAAGTCCACCAAACTCAAATGTACATAACAAAATTAATCTGAAAACCTGTCTTTAAAGGAGGAGCCTCCAAGCTTGTTTCTAGCCCTTCCTTTCAAGGGCAGGGAGCACATCAGTTCCTAGGGAAAAAGCACCAGCTCAGAGGGCATTTAATTGCCCTCAGAAGGCATGCAGATAGCTTTTGAGTTCCCATCCAAAGGACAAGAAAGCTCAGAAGGGCACTTAGAGTGCCCTTCTAAGTTTTCTTGCCCTGTGTTCCTCTAAGATGAGTTAGTGTGAGCTAGCTCACAGTTTTTTAGCCTCCGGCTCACACATTTTTGTCTTAGCTCAGGAAGGATGGCTCCAGAGCAAACTAATTTATGTAGTAGCCAAATCACTTGCTCACAACTTTAATGGCAGTAGCCCACCAAGCAGAATTTTTGCTCACAAGACTCCACAGCTTAGAAGGAGCATTGGTGGGGGCGTGTTAGAAGTTAGTCCTGGGCCCCCAAATTATGCTTGGGCACTCTAATGTCGAATGCAACACCAGACTTGACACCAGTTCTTCAGATGATAGTGAATGGGGGTACTCCCAGCAGTAGCCAAAGACTCTAGTGTGGTGATTAGTGTGGGATACCAGCTGATGTCCGGGGAGTGGCCGTGGCTCAGTGGCAGAGCAGCTGCTTTGCAATCCGAAGGTCCCAAGTTCCATCCTCATCATCTCCATTAAAAAGGATCAGGCAGTACGGGGTGTGAAAGACCTGAGAACCGCTGCCGGTCAGAATAGATAATATTGACTTTGATAGATCAATGGGCTGACATGATAAGGTAGCCAGTTTGGTGTAGTGGTTAGGAGAATGGACTGTAATCTGGGAGAACTGTGTTTGATCCCCCATGCCTCCACATGCAGCTGCTGGTGTGACGTTGGATCAGTCACAAGCTCTCACAGAGCTGTTCTCTCACAAGCAGTCCTCGAAGAGCTCCCTAGCCCCACCTACCTCACAGGGCACCTGTTGCGAGGAGGGGAAGGGAAAGGAGATTGTAAGCCGCTCTGAGACTCCAAGTGAAGAGCGGGGTATAAATCCAATCTCTGCTTCTTCTTCTTCTTCTAGCTTTCTTCCCTTTCTCTCATTCTCACCCACCTCACAGGGATGTTGGGAGAATAACATGCTTAAATAGGACCATGTATTTGGATAGGGTTGCCAGCTCTGGGATGGGAAATACCTGGAGATCTGGGGTTGGAGCCTGGGGAGGGTGGGGACCTCAGCAGGGCATAATGCCATCGGCTACATAAGAACACAAGAGAAGCCAATGTTGGATCAGGCCAAAGGCCCATCCAGTCCAACACTCTGTGTCACACAGTGGCCAAAACCCAGGTGCCATCAGAAGGTCCACCAGTGGGGCCACCCTCCAAAGCAGCCAAGTTCTCTAGAGAAACTGAGCTTGGACATCTGGAGATGAGTTGTAATAATGGGAGATCTTCAGGTGCCACCCAGAGGCTGGAGGCCCTACTTTAGGAGGAAGAGGGTGGGAGAAAAAGTACCCAAGAAATGACTAAATAGCTGTGTCCACCTGGCACTGGTCTTACACCCAAGCCCAAAACTTGTCCCATGCAGTTTGGCTGCCTTGACCATTGTTGACCATCACAACACTTCTTTGCCCCCATCTTTGAAATGATGAGTTGAATTCCAGGCTCACACATCCTCAAGCCAGGGGAAAAAAGAGAAGCCATCAACTTTTTCCCTTTTTGTTGTTTATTACATATAAAAGTTTGTCTTTCTACAGTAAAAAAGGTAAAAAAATAAATATATGCATATATGTACATCCAAACATTGAGATGCTACAGACTGGAAAGTACCCAGAGGAGAAATGCAGGTAAGAGAACTTTGCAAAGGTTGCTGCACAGAGTTTCATCTTTATACCGAGGGACAAGGCAGATCCCCGCTTGCCAAAGGGAGAGGATCCTGTTGGGGCCAAATGAGTTTTTTTCTCAAGTGCAAAAAACAATCCAAATCACCTTCAGTTTCAAGCGCTTTGATGCTGTGACATAAAGCTGTGTTTGCAAAACATGGGCCAACCTTTCTCCTCTTCTCTACAACAGCAGAAGCACATTTTGAAAAGAATGTTCTTCAGGTGTGCTGATCACATTACACCCACCTCAACATTAACAGCCAACCTTTGCAAATCATAAGGGGATAAGTACAGAGCACCCAGCATGCAGAGCCCCTTATGTAGGCATCGGGAGTGCTGCTGGTGTTATTTGTAGTAAACTGCATTTTTGCTGCTGTGGTGGTTGTTCCCCACACTTTGGCAGCAGGCATTACTGCCTGTGACGTAACTAAAGTGCCCTGTGCTTAGGCATGGAAGGGAATCTGTTGAGCCATGCCCTAAGCTTCTTCCCATAGGAAAGTCTGTTAGTTGAGTCAGGATAAGGCCACACTGTTCCCAAAGGCTTTGGCTGACAACATTCTTCCCGGTCCATCCATTGCCTGGAAATATCTAGCATTATCTCCTAAACTCTCACCAAATTGTCAGTGCAAATTAAACGTTCCCCTATTGAGTTCAATGGGGTTAACTCACAAATGGGTGGAGGCAGAATTGCACCCTGAACCTGGAAGAGAGCTACATGTTCAGAAAAATCACAAAGGTTGCAGTTCTGCATGCTTCCTCATGTGCAATAGCCCTCCTACATGTAGAAAGTTAGCACCTCAGGGAGAAAGGTGCTAGCCTAGCCCTAGATTTCTACATGTAAGTAAAGGAGCAAAAAATATATATTAGTTGCCTGGAGTTTGCACTGTACATTCGGACACAACTTGCCCTGTGATATTGCTGAATACATAAACTAGTTATCATTCATAAAGTTAACTTCCTTCTCCCTCTTCTCCTTTTCTTTCCACTGTCGCACTTCCTGCCTTTCCAAAATGCTAAAAGTGATTTCATACATACTGTTCTTGTCAGTGCAATCCTATGCAGAATTACCCCAGTTTAAACCCACTGATTTCAGTGGTCTTGGGACAGGATCAACTCTGCATAAGTGCATGTCAAATGCTTAGTCTGGGATGATGCTACCTAGAGGGAGACCATGCCTGTCCTCCGACCACAGGGCAAGTGGACAGTCACTGCACGCACCTGCCACTCCCCAGATTCTAGAGCAGTTGGAAGAATGGAAACACCATTGTCTGGTGGTATGCCCAGCAGTTAAGGGTAAGAGTCACTCCTAAGTGTTTTAAGTGGCCATATCATTTAAAATGTTCATACAGTCCCTTTTCCAAAGAAGAGAGTAACTTCTTCTGTTCTAATTCATTAACAATCCATCTGGGGCTATGAGACATTACGCCACCATCAAAGGCGACCTGGTTGCCTGCATGACAATGCCGTGGTGTCTCCCACTTCCTCCAGTGTGCATGTCAAGCTGACTTTTGGCAACCTCTCACGGGGCGTTCAAGGCAAGAGGTGGTGGTTCACCATGGCCTGCCTCTGCGCAGTGACCTTGGTCTTCCTCGGTGATCTCCCATCCAAGTACTAGCCGGGGCCGACCCTGCTCAGCTTTTGAGATCTGATGAGACATTCTACATTCAAGGAAAGGAACAGTTACACAACCCTCTCAGCCATGGAAGGAGGGAATTCAGAACCAGAGCACAAGATCAGACTGGCTCTGGGTTTGGCTTGTCCGGATCTACGTACAAAGTGGGGCATGGGGAGTTAGTGCTGTGACAGCTTGAGCCACATGCCTGCCTCATAAATCCAACTCCCACTGCAGAGCCCATGAGCGTAAGATGAGCCAGTAAATGAGCAGTAAATGTGGATTTTGGAGGCTCTGGCACTCAAGCAAGGATGCCTCCACTTCAGCCCAAACCAATCATTCTGTGGACCCGTTCAAGCCAAGTTTTCCCGCAAGGCGCCCATTTGGCTGAATGATTGGCCTTTGCTGCAGAAACATCTCTACTGCACACTGAAACCTGTCTCAGTCCAGTCTAGCTAGGCAAAGCCCCCAAAGGAGGAATCTTCAGAATGGTACATGAAGAGAGCCCTGAATTAGGAGATGTGTCGAATGTTTTGCTTTATTTCCATCATCCCACTCAGATGCCTAAGGAAACTTCACAGAGGTTCCGTGGAGTTTCTGAACAACTTCTGAGTTTCGTATGTATGTGAATCAACACACACACAGGCTGTTTTGTCCCTTCTAGTTTGCTTCCATAATCGCGCATATACCCAGCAATGACACCCAGAAAGCTGAGCTTCAGTTTTGCATTTTCTAGACCCTGCACCCAGCTAACAAGAGCAGTGGAGAAACTGACAAAAGTTTCTTCCCACCTCTGAAGCCTGTCCTAAGAAGTCCAATTGATTAGAGGGTGAAATGGCTGAAGGAGGGTTGAAACCAGTACAGTTTCCCCTCTACAAGGCAAGGGCTTGGTCAGACTCAAGCTTCTCAATTCCACCACCATTGCTGGAGAAATTGACAAGCTTTCCCCTGCTGTGGAGGTGAACTTGACACCAAAATGGATGAAGCTCAGTAATAGAGCACATATTTTGTGTGCAGAAGGGCCTAGATTCAGTCTGTGACATTCCCAGCTAAGGGGGCTAAGAAAATTTTGCATGCAGAAGATTCTAGGTTTAGCCTGTACAACCTCCAATTAAATTACCTTCAATAGCAGGGCTGGGAAATACTGGGAAGGACCTTGTGACATTAGAGAGCCTTGACCCGTCAAAGTCAACAATAGTGTCAGGAGTGTAAAAGCAGCTTCAAGTATAGTTTATGAAACTAGTAAACTTTGCTAGTTCCAGTACCCCTCTTGCAGCTACAATCCCAAGGGTTCCCTCAGGAGGAGCCACATCACTTAGACTGGTTTTAATGTGCAGTGAAGACGATCCCTGCCCTGAAGCATTCTCAACTCTTTCATGGCCTGTACCATTTCCCATCAGCACTGGAATCACCCCAGAGAAAAGAGAGAACATGAATTTGGGTTAAATAAGTCAAGCCAGGGCCACTGTAAAAATACTTTTTTCCCCTTTAAAAAACACAGAAAAGAGATAGATTTGTCCTGTACCTATGACCCAAGCATCCTGTTCAGGATACATCCGATCCTCTTTTACTGGGCAGCTGGGGGAGAGATTTGCAGGAACAAGAAGAATCGGGATAAAAGGAGAAGGACGTGTGAAGAGTCGGGGGGGGGGGTAGTTAGCCAGTGTATTAAGGCAAATGTCCAAAACTGATGTCTGAGAGCCAGAGAAGGCAAGTTCCTGAGGTAAGGGGTGCTTGGTATCGCCATTGGCCTCTGTGCTTAAAAGTTGCCCCCGAACCAACGCCAGTTGTTTACACTCAGATCTGATACAGAGTCCTGTTGGTATCCAAGACAAAAGTCCTCTTCCCTATCCAACAAGGTGGAGTCTTCAAAACAGAGAGGCTGTTTCCTTTTAAGACCGTTTCCGGATGACTCAAGGAGCTGTGCTGTCATCTCTGTTTGATCCTTACACCTTACACCACCAACAACTTTTTCCCCCCATTAAGCTTTCCTCTTTCGGGGGTCTCTCCTCCCACTTCAAGGTACCCGTTTAGTACAAGCTTCTGGCAACCGCAGGTCTCCGTGCTGTCAAGGTAAAGGGCAACCTGTAAGCCCTTCCTTATCCTTTTGATTGGCTTGTTTTCTTCCAGATATTCTGCTCAGGTGGGTGAAGCGCTGGCTGGAGTTTCTTGGAGAAGCGTGCTACTTTCTGGCGAACAGGGAGTTAGAAAGAGCAAGATTCCTACAAACAGAAAAGGCAAATTTCTCAGCACCTCAGCCAATATGCTCTTGGCATTCTCTGGAACAAAGGTCCCACAAAGGTGTCCGCCAAGTGCTTTTAGAAAATGGGTGTAGCCAAGTTGGGCTTTTCCCAGCAAGGCTTCTGATTGGCTTTGCAGATTTTTTAAAAAATGTAGCTTTGCCACCACAGCACAAGGATCTTCACTGTGTGACTGAAGGTAAGCTGTGGCACCCATTTTGTGGCTGGCCCCACCTCCTGCAGCAGCCATTTTGTGGTGGCCATTTTGTGACTGTGGCCACTATACTATGTCTGAGTTCCAAAGGTGCCCTCAAGCTCAAGAAGACTGGGGACCCCTGATCTACCAACTCTAGTGATGTTTTAGGGTTTTCAGGTCAGATCTGCAAGAGGTGCACACAGAAGGAAACTCTTGGTTGATGTTTCCTACTGTGGAAGCCCTGCTGCTCTTAATTAAACTAAGCCTGCTAATAAATTCTTCATTTCATATGGTAGCTATGTTGGTCTGCAGTGAAGCAACTAAATTTGAGTCCAGGAGCACCTTAAAGACCAACACAGTTTGAGGGTTAAAGCTTTCAAGACTCAAAGCTCCCTTGGTCAGATATGTGACAAAAGCAAGCTATAACTCTTGGAAGTTTACACCTTCCGAACCTTGTTGGTCTCCGAAGTTCTAGTGGACTCAGATCTAGCACCAATAAATTTTTAAGGAACGTAAAATACTTTTTGGGTCTGGACTTAGAACACCAAAGTTTAGATTTACTTAAGTTTAGGTTTCCACATGTTTTGTGGAATCATATATGGAAGTTCAGTAAAACCTTTACTTCAAAGACAGGTTCTTTTTAGAACAGATCTATGAGTCCAGGTGAACTGCTAGATGACCTTGGGACAGTCAGTTTCCTCTCCGCTTCACCTAGCTGTGTTGGTCTGAAGCAATAGAACAAAGTTTGAGTCCAGTGGCACCTTTAAAACCAACAAAGTTTTATGCAATTCTGATGCAATTCTGCAGGGCCCGCAAGGCAGAGATGTTTTGCCAGGCCTTTGGTTGAGGACAGTGATGGTTCCATCTTGGCTGGCACCCTCCTCTGTTATTTACATCCACGTCACCCTCTTCCTGGCGTGATCTTGTCCATGGGGTCGCGAAGAGTCGGACTCGACTGTGCGACTGAACAACAACACCCTCTTCCCCCGTGCCCACAAAGTAGCTGGCAGTTGGAATTGGGACTATTTATTCGCCATCTGATTGTTGGAATGTTTTATTAATATTTTAATTGGTTTTATCTTGTTCCTGTTTTATGGATACTATACATTGCCCAGAGCCCTGCTATGGCAGGGACTGGGTGATTCATAAATACAATAAATAATAATAAAATAATAAATAATAATTCTGGGTATAAGCTTTCATGTGAATGCACAAAAGACTGATGGTACATGCTCATGAAAGCTGATACCCAGTGCATGCACATGAAAGCTGATACCCAGAATTAAACTTTGTTGGTCTTAAAGGTGCCACTGGACTGAAATTTTGTTCTACCCCATAGTGTTATTGTGAGGCTAAAATAAGGAGGGGGGGGGAGAATCATTTGCACCATTTTGCACTCTATGGTGGGCGACTGGGATGAACATGTATGAGATAGATAGTTAAAGGAGGAAAGTATGCAGTCCTACCAATAAATTATCAGAATGTTTGTCAAAATTACAGCCCCCAGAACTTTTTGGGTTGGGGGAGAGAGCCACGCGAAAAGCTGGCTGCAAAGCAGTCTGAAGTGTCCTGTGGGAAACTATTTCAATTGATCCTTACTTGAGAACTTTCAGAAGTTCAGCTTGCTGCATTTCGTAAGACCACCATGGATAATCTTTTCCAGTGTGCCTTTGCTCTTGGGCATGCGAGGACTCCTGGGACCCCTGGAAGCCAAGAAGACACAAAAGCTCATCAGATAGCCATTTAAAGAACCACAGTGAAGAATGTAAGGAATATTTTTTAAAAAGGGGGAAAAAAGAAATTGAGACAGAGTCTCCAGCTGGTTTCAGAGGGCATCTGTGTTGGTCTGCTGTAGAACAACAAGACTCCAGTCCAGGAGGACCTGAGACGCCAGCCCTGAAAACCTTGTTGCTCTCTAATGTGCTACTGGACTTGAATCTAGCTCGTCTCCAGATAGAAAACACCAAAACTTTTTATTTCTCATAAGTTAAAGGCACATTAAAAAAAAAAAAACTTGGCTACTATCCAGTTCTTGGAAATATTTATAGTCAAATTCACTCCTCTGTGCTTTTCTAAGATGACAGGTAAAAGCTGGCCAACCCACATTCACTCCCTGTGACCTTAGCACATCCTAAGATTATATAACTGTCCCGCTTATGGGCCCCAAAGGCATGCCTTCTGCCTTCTGCAGTATGGGGTGCAGAGTTTAGAGGCCTTACAATGGCTGGGTGCCAGCCCTGGCTTTTATGGCCACGTAAGTCAACGATGATGCTGGATAGTTCAAGGACCACATCAATGCAGAGCAGCAGTTAAACCCATAAACTGTCACTCCAGGACAAATGTCAGCTCACGAAATGAACACTCAAAGCTGCCTTCTACTGAGCCAGACCACTGGTCCATTGAGGGCAGTATCACCTACTCTGACCAGCAGGGTCTCAGAAAAGGGTCTTTCCTGCAGCCAGCCTGGTACAGCTGTGAGAATGTTGGATTAGGAGCTGGGAGACCCAGGTTTGAATCTCCACTCTCCCATGGAAGCTTGGTGGGTGAACTTGGGGCAGTCACAAACTCTCAGCTTAACCTACCCTCATAGGGTTGTGGTGAGGATAAAATGGAGGAGAAGAGAAGGATATAAACTGCATTGGGTCCCCACTGGGGAGAAAGGTGAGATACAAATGAAATAAAGAAATAAATACAATCTGAACTTTTTAACTAGAAATGACAAGGATTGAACCTGGGACCTTCTGCATAAAAAAGCAAGTAATTTACCACTGAGCCACAGCCCATCTGAGAACACAGCAGAACTGTAGGTCACTATCTTTTAATCACAAAGTGAAGGGCAGGAGGAGGCAAGGTTCAGTGGAAGAGGACAGGCTTAATAAGAAGGGAGTCCCAGGTTCAACCTCTGGCATCTGCAGTTAAGAAGACCCTCTCTCTCTCTTTTTTTTTTGTCCAGGATGCACAAAAGTTGCCAGTAAATAGTACAATGCTCAATAGTCCACTGTCTGACTTGGTACAAAGCAGCAGCACATATTGCTACTGATCTACCAAAACAAGCTGTTATGAGAGTAGGGCTGCCAGGTCCTTAACTGCTGCTGGCGGGGGGATTTGGGGGCAATCTGTGGGTGGGCAGGGACGTTGTTGATGCAATGACATCCCTTTCGGAAGTGACATCATCATGTTGGTGACATCAGGGTGACTCTTTACTTTGGGGGAAAAACTCTATGTTAAAAAATGGCAACAAACCATAGAGTTTTGTCCAGAAAGTAGAGCATCACCCTCAATGTCACTGATGCGATGACATCAGTTCCAGACGTGACATAATCATGTTGACAACGTCACTGGGGGATGTCTTTTTGAGGGTGGGGTTTCCCCTGACGGTCAGCTGGTCGGCAGTGGGCCAAAGCCTGCAAGAATGGGGGATACCCGCCCCTACTTGGGAGCTGGCAAGTTAGGGTTGCCAAGTGCGACGTACCTGTTCCGCGGGGGACTCCCGGGTGGTTCCGGAAGCGCGTGCACGCGCCACATGCATGTCACCGGGAAGTGACATCATGACGCTGGGCACGCTGGGGGCAGGGCCACGACCATACAAGGGAAAACCATAGAGTTTTCCCTTGTATGGCCATGGCCCCGCCCCCAGTGTGCCCGGAGTGCCCGCGTCACTTCCTGGTGATGCGCAAGTCGGGGAGGAGTTCCCCCGGGGCCCGATCCGGCGCCGCCGGGGAACGGGCCTCTGGGGCGGGGGTTTCACTGCCCCCTCGGGGGACTTGGCAGCCCTATGGCAAGTCTATATAAGAATTGCGAAAAATGAATACAGGTATGCTAAGCACTATGTGCCAAAGCTTGCCAAATTCTGTGCTCAGTTCAAATTAAGTTTCTTTTCAAATTATACTAAAATTAAGGGCTTGGGGGCTAGACACTTGGTTTTTTTAAAAAAAAATCAACAGACAGGGCAAATTCTGTTATTCCAAACACAAATGTAAAATGCTATGTTTGAGCAGTAAGGCTGCAGAATCCACACAATTAATCAAAGTCTCTTAAAAGGCAGGATCAACTAACTGCCGGTGCGGCAGGAAGAATTATTTGACTGAAGAAGGTGCTGCTCCCTTCAGGGCCTTCTTCTCATCTTTGTAAACCAGAACAAAGTTTGAGTCCAGTCGGGCACCTTTAAGACCAACAAAGTTTTATTCACGGTATAAGCTTTTGTGTGCAAGCACGCTTCCGCAGATACAGTCTTAAAGATACCACTGGACTCAAACTTCATTTTGCTGCTTCAGCCCAACACAGCTACCCCACCTGAATCTATCTTTGTACACCAGACATTGTCTTTTCCAACACGGCATAGTGTCAGACTAGGATACGGGAAATTATGTTCAAACCCCCTTTCTGGGTGACCTCAGTCCAAAACTGTACTAGGCAGATAGACTCAACTAACCAACACATATGGAATCAAGCCAAGACGTTTATTTATTTACCTATGTCCATACAGGCTTTAATTAAATTAATTTTTAATATGATTTTAGTCTGAAAAAAACATTATTTTAAGTTGCTCAGTAAGAGCTTTGGGAAGACATTAGAGAGATCGGTATTATTGTCATTCCTATAGTGCTCCGTGAAGAGATTGGTGATGAACATCTACACAGAGACTGAGTTGAAAAAGATATTCGAAACAGTTTCCTATTCAGGAAGAGCTTGTCCTCTCTCTGTCCTTTACATTCCTTGGATTCTTATATATTTTTCAGTGCATCATTTTTCCCCCCACGTCATTGAAGTTTTTTCCTGTGTTTAACAGATGACAGTGGATGAAGTTGTGTGTGTGTTATATGTGTTGGCTAAGAGCTTGGAAAAACAAAGGCTTTTTAGTCTGTTTTTTTTTTCCTTCACAGCTCTGTTAAGACACCTTAAAGTGATAACGCCACTAAAAGAATCCAGGAACGTAGCCAGAAGTGTGCTCATAATATTTACATCTTTTATGCTGTGGCATTTATTAAGTTCTGGTCTGGAATTAAAACTTTTAATGTTTTTATTATGGCTTATTTTGTAAACTACTTTGAACAGGTTCCCAGAAGAGGTGGAATAAAATTTTGCTAAATCAATCTTATATTTATACGTTGCTTTTTTCTCACTGGAGACCTGAAGTGGCTTACTAAAAAAAAAAACCCCAACATCTTATCAATAAAATTAAACAAACAAAAAACACATATGACAAAAAGGCAATGCAGGGAGACAAACAAAGAGAATGGGGGGAGATAGATCTGCTGTAAAGGATTTGGAGAGTGGGGAAAGATGCTTATTTTTAGGCTGCTCTTCTTCTTAAGGGTGACCATTTGAACCTCCAAAGTCTTAGGCTGGAAGCAACTCCTGAGCTGGACCCCTTTGTACAATAAGGGCCACAGAACCGCTGTGGAACTGGCTCTGAGGATTCGACGCACACACCCTCAAGTCCTGCACATGGCAAAGGCTTTTTAGTCTGGTTTTTTTTCTTCACAGCTCCATTAAGACACCTTAAAGTTCCACATGAAGCTTGTGATTTAGCACACAGGATCTCATCTGCCAAAGGCAAGATTTCATCCTGCCATGACTATGGAGAGAAAATCTCAGAAGGGTATGGAATGGAGAGTAAGTTGAAATGAGAAAAAAGCAGAAACTACCCAAATGCTCCCTTGTTTCTCCAGGGTTTTTTACAGCTCTCCACACCTTTGCCCTGGCTGTTATTTCCTATCCTGTCATACAACCAAATGCTTTCCTTCCACCACTGTACTCTCCCACTATAACAAATCAAAACAAAAAATTGGTTTTCTCTGACCTGAAATAAAAAGCTGGCTCCTCCTGAAAGTCAGGGAGAAATTATTTTATTAAAGTCATTATTATTAATGTACATTTTTCCTTTTTTGATACTCAGTATATGTAATAGATCTATTTTATTAAAAAAACTTAAAACAATATTAAGTAAATGTAGATTTTTTTATTTCTAGAAAGAGTTATAAATGAGTCTTTAAAATTACTACATTAAATTGTCCAAATTAAATTGTTTAAATTGTTTAAATTGTTATACTTTTAAAAAGAAGTATATTGATGTTTTGAGAAATTTATGTTAGTTGAGTTCAGATGATATTCAGCTCCAGATCTATGTACCTATTACACTTATGCTATATATTAGGATCACGTCCTTAGTAAATGGAAAATGGAAAAACTTTTGATGAATAATGCTTAATGACTTTTTGTTACTCCATCCCCTCTCTATATATATTTTATTTTTAAATTGCTTCTCTGAAGCAGCTGGCTGTGGCTCAGTGGCAGAGTGTCTGTTTTGCAGGTAGGAGATCCCAGGTTCAATTCCTGGTATCTCCAGCTGGATTCTTCTCTGGTGGGAGGTCTCAGGAAAGAAGCTGGAGAGTCACTGCCAATCATACATGGAACTAAATGGACCAGTCACCTGACACAGGAGGAGGTAGCTTTATGAGGTGCCGCAAGGTCAAACTGAATATCTACCCCCTATCCTCTTCCCCTCTCCACGCACCACATGTTAAAACTTTAACCAATATATTCCAGGTTGTTGTAAAAGCACCACCAGGCAAGAGCTTTATGGTGTGGAGGTGCTGATACAGTTCCAAGAATAGCACAGAGCAAATTGTGCTAGGGCTATGTTAGAGTGGTTGGGGAAAACCCACAACCAAGAACATATGAAAATAAGAAGAGCCCTGCCGGATCAAACCAATAGTCCATCTAGTCCAGCATTCTGTCTCACACAGTGGCCAACCTGTTCCTCAGAAGGCCAACAACAGCGCATAAAGGATGAGGCCTTCCTCTCATGTTGCCTCCTGGCTCTGGGGTTCAGAGGATTAGTGCCTGTGAATGTGGAGGTCCCACTCATTTACCACGGCTAGTAGCCATTCATAGACTTTATTTATTTATTAGATTTATACCCCGCCCTCCCCAACGGGCTCAGGGTGGCTAACAACAGAGGCAAATGCCATAACAAGCAGTTAAAACAACGTAAAAACAATCATTAAACAGTATAAAACAATCATTAAGTAAAGTGCGGTGCTCTTGATGTTAAATTTTCTTAATCCAAGATGAGTTCCATTTGTCAACCTAGCCTGACAACATACATTCTTCGGTTAACTAGGCATCTGCCCAGGGCCGGCTCACCCCCAGATCTAATCCACCGTCGAAGATGGCAACTCGGTGGTGGTACAGTCCTCCATGTATCTATCTAATCCCCTTTTGAAGCTGTTTATTCCTGTGGCCATCACTACAACTTCTGATAGCAAAGTCTATATTTTAATCACTCCCTATGTACCTCATCATAGCTTCAAAGAGGCCCACATTATGTGGGAGATTGTTCTCTCCCTGTCCCACACACACACACACACACGATTCCCACCAATGGCACCAGGAGCCTATGGCTATAAGAAAGCAGCCATATCCGAACACTTACCAAGGCCTCTTATGGCAAAAAGTGGCGCAGATGCTGTCCTTGGAGTGTGCACATTCACACCTGTCCAGAGCTCTCTTTTGACGCTTCTGCAGGTTTCCCAGGCCGTAGGGAGTGGAGCGCCTGTTCAAACAACAACAACAAACCAAAAAAAAAAAAAAAAGCAAGCCAGTTAACATCCATTATCAGAAAAGAGGTTTATAATGAAGTCTTGGTCAGCAGCCAAGCAGGCTGGGCCACAACAATGTCTGTTTGTAGTCGAGAGGTAAAATAATTATTTACTATCTCGAGGGGAGGGGGGGACGAGGTTACCTCCCTTCTTCCACCTTAACTCCTGCACACCCATCCCTGTGCTTCAGCGCGCAGGATGTGGGCGGCCCACCCGGGGACCCTCTTTGCTCTTCCCTAACGGCAAGATTATGGAAATAATTTTATGGGCTTGAGCAATAAGAAGCTTCTGTGTGACAGGAAGGAATGTCCAGGGACCCCTGCAGGAACGGACCCCTGCCATCAAGTTTCTGAAGCTTGCTGGATGACAGGAGACCAAGCAGGGAGGGACACCTCTGTCCCAGCAACGCAGCATGCAGATTTCACATGCTCTGCGTGTTTTGAATAGGAGAACATCAGAAGAGCTCTGCTGGATCAGACCAGTGGTCCATATAGTCCAGCATTCTGTCTCACACACCCAGCTGCCCTGCAGGGCCAACAAACAGGGAGTAGAGGCCAAGGCCACCTCCTAGCACTGATATTCAGAGGTTTACTGCCTCTGAATGTGGAGGCTCTCTTTAGCCCCAATGGCTACCAGGGCCAGTGACAGACCTATACTCCAGGAATCTAGACCGATACTCCATGAATCTAATCCCTCAAGGATACATTAAACTACCTTCTACCATCAAAGTCCATCTTGTGTACTCTGACTGGCAGCGGCTCTCCAAGATCTTGAGTTGAAGTATTTTGTATCACCAGTCCTTTTAACTGGAGATGCTGGGGATTGAGCCTGGGACCTTCTGCATGCCAAGCAGGTGCTCTACCACTAAGTCATGGCCCATTTGGGACCAGAAAGTACACCGTGGGTCTGCAAAAGGTGCCAAAAAGGGCAACTTAAATTATCATTAAAACACTTCCAGGGGGAAAAACAGAGCGTGGAGCTTTTTAGATAAAACAAACTAAGGAGAAAGGCAACAGGAAAAACATGATATAGGTTTGTAAAAGTATGAATAGCGTGGGAAAGGGGCAAGAAAGAGCTTGATGGGCAGTAGATTTGGGATTGGGGGGTGGGAATCTTCTTCCCCAAAAATTTATCAGTAGTCTACAGAGTTTGTTGCTACAGGCTCTTAGGATAGCCTCAAGCCCTTTTAAAACAGAAATAGATGCATCCACAGAGGAGATGTGGATCACCCACTAAGTGGCTGCCCCTCCATGTTCAGAGATGCAGTTGGGTAACATTAGACTCTTATCCCCACCCCTTTAGACAGTAACATATATTTCAAACTTGCAGCCACGGCTAGCCTTGCTCCCACCCCCACTGAGCCCATAAGCACCTGGACTTCTGCCCCAAAGCTGAGTACTGACAGTAACACCGTCCTTGTGCCAAGGCAGAGAGCCACTATATATTGGTAGCTATAAGGTGGCAGTACCAGCCTATTAGCCCAGGCTAGCCTGATCTCGTCAGATCATGGAAGCTAAGCAGGGTCAGCCCTGGTTAGTGCTGGGAATGGAGATTGCCGAGGAAGGCCAGGGTCGCTCTGCAGAGGCAGGCAATGGCAAAGCCTTGAAAACCCCATGAAGGGTTGCCAGAAGTCAGTTGCAACTTGCTGGCATAAAATTAAGGGGGAAGCCATTGCCTTCACATTCCACTAAGGGGCTCCTGGGAATATCTGATTCCCTCTTGGCCTGTATAGCAGAGCTCAGATGTTCCTTCTATCAAGAGCGTCTCAAAAGCATGCCCATGCGAGTCCTCGATTACCCCACTGCCGTTTCCATCATGGACCCCAGCCCTCCCTCCCCCTTCCTGGAACACTCGAGAACGGCGTGCTGTTTTCAGGGTGAGCGGTTACTCCAGACTGCACGTTAGCAGGCATAATTAGAGCCACACCTGGGCAAGAGAGGCTGTTGAGCTCGGATCCAAGAGCTGCCCGTGTGGGAATGGAACGCGATCTCTGCTCTGCCATATCACGCAACGCTCCCATCCCCAAGATCTGAAGGCCCGCCTGCCTCAGTGCAGGAGAATCATAAACTGGGGAGCAACCCCCCCTCAGAAAGTATTTATGGCGAGAGAAAGAGAAATATACTGGGTTTGACACATGTTGGTGATCTGCTCATGCTTTATTGTGATTTCAGCTCGGAACTAAGGACAGCTCTAGCAGGGCGGGGGCCCTGCTTATAAGCCCGTAAAATGGCACACCCATCACACACCCACTCCCAACAATAAGCTATTTACAGAGGCACTCCTGGGTGATAGGTCCATCCCAGGATCCTAGCAGTCCATTGTTCTGTGTCCCCAAGCTGGGGCTGATGAGATTACACAACAGAAAACATTGAGCATTTGTGATTTAAAAACAGATGATGTCACTTTCCCATCACTGTTTCATGTGGATATCTAGCTTGGTCTGCAGAAGAAGAGCGAGATTCAAATCCAGGAGCACCTTAAAGACTAACAAGATTTCCAGGGCCAGATCCAAGCTTTTCTCCCCTGCTTTAATGAAGAGGATTATATTTTGTGTTGTGCCTTTGCATTCTGACTCCCATCTCTGCAACACCCCTCCTACCTTCTAACTGGGATATAAGGGCTCAGGGATCTCCAGTCCTATTTGTATCTGATGAAGAGAGTGTTGACTCTTGAAAGCTTATACCCTGGAAACCTGGTTGGACTTGAAGGTGCCGCTCAACTGGAATCTTGCACTTTCACATCATCACTTCATGAGTCTATTCTGTCTCAACATGCTGCTTACCCAGTGTGGGCCTCACAGCAGAGGAAAACTGAAGTTTAAATTAAGGTGGTTGGGGGTGTTGGCAGAAACTGGTTGTGCTAATGGGACTTCTCCACCAGCCAACATCTGAAATTCCACGCAAAACAGCATCTGGCCGCACTTTAAAGACTAACAGATTTATTGTTGCATAATGCCAACAGACAGAAACGTTTTCCCTAATAAATGGGTTAATTGTTAATGCGCCACCAGACTGCGGTTTTGTTTTCCTGGCCAGAACGCACATGACACTGCAAACTAGCCACTCCGTGCCGCATTTGTAACTTTCGCACATGGCACACTCAGAGAAACACGACTGCAACCATACGTCATTGGTTATGTCGTACTACCTCCTGGGGTTTTCGAGGTGGACAAGAAATCCCAGCAGGTGAGTGATGACGATGGTGTGACTTCCAACCATGTGTGGATCCAGGGTCAGGACACTGACTGGCCTGTGCAAATGCACCTGACGAGAGGCACCGTGGGAGTTCTTTCCACCACTGGCCGGTCCTCCAGGCGCCTGAGAGCCCACCATTTCCTGCCCGACCCACACCCCAAACCTATGGCCACGGACCTCTTTGAGAATGCAAGCGAGCACTGCTTCGACTCACCCCGAGGTGTTGATCCAGATAATGTCAAGGTGGCAGAAGTAGATGCATTCCTTGTCCATCCAGTTATTGCAAGAGCATCGCTTTGTCCTCAGGTGCCTGCTGCTCGCCGCCGCCGCTCGGTGGGACTCTGCCGGGGGACGGCCCAGACCTGCCCGAGAGAAAATTACAGATGAAGGGATCAGCATGGCTTTGGATGGGAAGAGTCAGGAATGCGCCAGGGTACGTAAACACGGCAATTAGCCCGCCACCTAACCTGCAGGACGGGGTGCCATCTCTCCGGGGCAGTGGGGAGGAGTGCTGCCACAACAGTGCATTTGCCTGATTGCAGCCTGCAAAGGACAGAAGACTCTGTGGACTTGCAAGCCTGCAGCGGACCATCAAAGAGGGCCGGCGAGGCGAAGACCCTTCACGTGCAAAGGCTAAACCCGCTGGCGGGCGGCGAGAGGGGTTCAGAGGAGCATAATCTCGACCCTGCCCAGCGGCCGCTTATCGCTCGGCGTGTGGCTGCTAATGCCTCAGCTTCTCATCGAGCGCCGGCCACAGTCTGCAAATGGGCAAGCCTTGGGAGTGTGCGGAGCGAGGAGCATCAGTGTCCACAGGGTCTCGAGACTTTTTGCCTAGAAAAAGTTGCAATGGGCGGAGTCCGTGGCTGCTTCTTTCTGAGGAAGGGGGGGGGGGAATCACCTCCTTTTGGTACAGTCCCGAATGCTCTATTATCTCTGGCATTCGGGTGTCAGAGCAGCTCCCCTGCCACTGCCAGGCATGCACGGATGGGGGGGGGGGTCTCGTCTAAATGTTCAAAAAACAAACAAACCCCAAGCCAGTTTGCATGGCTGACTGGGAAAGGAAGGAAACAAAGCGCACTTTCCTGGAAGAAGGCTCCCTTGGCTAACATGAGACTTACTTCTGAGTAGACCTAAGGGGGACAAGAGCCCCGGGGCCAGACTGCCCAGGGAGAGAGAGAACAGAATCATGCATTTGTTTCCATGCAAAAAATAACGATAAAAATTAATCGTCACTGGGGGGGGGGGAACCATTTGCAAAACTGCATTAAAAAGGAAAAAACCCTCCCGGAGGAACCTCACCTTCTTCCAGCAGGACGCAAAGAGTGAGAAGAAGGGGGAAACACCTGGCCGGGTTGCTTAGCATTGTGGTTTGCGCGTAATCCTTTAATGGGCAGGAAGCTCCGAGCTCGACTCACTCGCTCTCGCTCTCTCCCGCTCCCTCCCTCTGCAGAGCGGCAAGAGGCTCTTGTGGAGCTTGTCGGCGCTCCGGCAGGTGCTTTATAATCGTGGAGCGAAGCTTGGCGCGTCACCGCCTGCCGGCCACGCCTCCCCCCCGGGGGTGTCTCAGGGTGGGGGTCCTCCTCCTACTGCAATCCAGCAGGAAGGGAGCAGGCAAGAGCCGCTGGTCCCTCATGGTCCTGATCAGGGCCATGGCGATGCTGAAAAGCACCTGGTGATTTTTTTTATTATTTTTTTGTGGTTATTATTTACTTACCTTATTTATATCCTGCTGGCTGCTCTTCTTTCCAGGGGAGATCCAAAGTGGCAATCATCATTCTCCTCACCTTGGTTTTATCCCCACAGCAACCCCGTGAGGTAAGTTAGGCTGAGAAAGTGTGACTGCCTCAGGTTGACCCAGCGGGCTTCCATGGCAGAGTGGGGATTGGAACCTGGGTCTTCCAAATCCTGATCCAACACCTTAGAAGAAGCAGTGTTGGGTTTTATACCCCACCTTTCACTACCCAAAGGAGTCTCGGAGTGGCTTACAATCTCCTGTCCCCTTCCCCTCCCCACAACAGACACTCTGTGAGGTAGGTGGGGCTGAGAGAGCTCTTTCGAGGACTGCTCTTTCCAGAACAGCTCTAAGAGAACTGTGATTGACCCAAGGTCACCCAGCTGGCTTCAGGTGGAGAAGGAGTGGGGAATCAAACCCTGTTCTCCGGATTAGAGTCTGTCGCTCTTAACCACTACACCAAACCAGTATTATCTGAAGAAGTGAGCAGTGACTCACAAAAGCTCCTACCCTGCCACAAATTTTATTAGTGTTTAGGGTGCTACTGGACACTTGCTCTTTTTAACCACTACCCCATGCTGGCTTGAACTATGTGTACTTCACAACTGGCACAGGGAGGGGCCCTGGATCAGTGGCAGGGTATCGGCAGAAAGTCTCAGGTTCAGTCCCCAGGGATCGCCAAGTCAAAAAGATCAGGCAGGAGGTGATGTCAAAACCCCCTGCCTGAGACCCTGGAGAGCTGTTCCTAATCATAGCAGACAGTACTGACCTTGATAAACCAGGGATCTGACTCAGGAAAAAGCAGCTTCATATATTCTTAGGAAGGACAGTGGTTATGGTTCAGTGGCAGAGCATCTGCTCTGCCTGTAGAAGGTCCCTGGTTCAATCCCCAGCATCTCCAGTTATTTGTTTGTTTGTTTGTTTGTTTGTTTGACTTATATCCCGCCCTTCCACATGAGCTCAGGGCGGCTAACAAGAGGCAATTGCCATACACAACACTAAAACCAGATAAAACATTTACATTTAAAATCGGTGCTCATAACAATATGCCATCCAAGAAAAAAGATCAGGCAGGAGGTGATGTCAAATCCCCCTGCCTGAGACCCTGGAGAGCTGTTCCTAATCATAGCAGACAGTACTGACCTTGATAAACCAGGGATCTGACTCAGGAAAAAGCAGCTTCATATATTCTTAGGAAGGACAGTGGTTATGGTTCAGTGGCAGAGCATCTGCTCTGCCTGTAGAAGGTCCCTGGTTCAATCCCCAGCATCTCCAGTTATTTGTTTGTTTGTTTGTTTGTTTGTTTGACTTATATCCCGCCCTTCCACATGAGCTCAGGGCGGCTAACAAGAGGCAATTGCCATACACAACACTAAAACCAGATAAAACATTTACATTTAAAATCGGTGCTCATAACAATATGCCATCCAAGATGGGACTCCAGTGCAATGTTTCAGAGGATCTACTGTCTCTTCTTGATCGGTCCGCACTATGTCCGTTCTTCATTACCAAGGCCAGTTCGCATTGCCAGAAATGGCAGCACGGTGGTGGTACAGTGATGGTGGCGGCTCCTACTCAAAAGCCTGGCGGAAGAGCTTCGTCTTGCAGGCCCTGCGGAACTGCATAAGGTCCCACAGGGCCCTGATCTCCTCCGGGAGCTCGTTCCACCAGATAGGAGCCACCACCGAATAAGCCCTGGCCTTGGTCGCAGCATATTTGAGATCTCTAGGGGTTGGGACAACCAAAAGTCGTTTTGCCCCCAACCATACTGCCCTTGGGGGAACATATGGGGAAAGGTGGTCCCTTAGGTAAGCTGGACCCTGGCCATATAGGGCATTATAGGTAAGAACCAGCACTTTGAAGCAGACCTGGTACGCTATTGGCAGCCAGTGCAGTGCCTTAAAAAGAAGCAGGTAGGAAGTGCAGGGAAAGACCTTGGCCTGAAACCCTGGAGCGCTGCTGCCAGTCTGAGTGGACAATGCTGGCCTTAACAGACCAAGGGTCTGACTCCAGAATAAAGCAATTTCATGTCTTCATGTCCTGCTTAGGATAGTTATATCTCGATTCCCTGCCATTACGGGCATCCCCGCTCCCGACACTCTGTTGTCTCTCCATTTGAGCCGTGCTTATTCAGCCAGGGCGGCTCACTGAATACAGCCAGGAGAAGCAAATATACCCGGCATGTGAGAGTCCCTGTCCTGTTTGAATCTTTGCAATTAGGAGTAGAAATGAAGGTCAGTGCCCACAAGGGTCCTGGGGCTCAGGTTCAAAGCCACGTCCTCAGATTTGGAAACCCATCTCCTTGGTCCCAGATGGCTTAGCTGTAGTCATTGGTATCAGCTACGCAGTCTGAATATGCATATGCATGGCTATGGGTGGAAGGGTCTTCTTTGCATGAATCTGTGCTGCAATGTTCCATGCTTTCAGGTCATGGCCTATGAGACAGCATCTTGAAAAACAGGAAGGCCCCTTGATCATCTTACCTATGGTTCAGGGGAGAGGGTGTGTCTCCTACCCCTTGTAGAGGCTACCCGTGATGCCAGCCGCCCACTGTGGCCCAAAACCAGAAGTGTGGCCGATGCCATGTTAAGGGTTCCAGATGCAATGTCTTTATGCATCTGCAGTCACAAGTTCAACCCTTGGAGCTGTGATTCTGCACCATTCAAAGGTCCTGAGGGAAAAAAAGCTAAAATAATGTTTGCAAACACAGGTTCAGCCTGATTCACACATCCGTTAGTCACTTGCCAAACTATCCCTGCAGTGTCTGATCCGTCTGTCTGTAACATTTTTTAATCCCCTCTTTCCTCCCAGAAACTCACGGAAGTGAACACAATGCTCTCCTCCTCCCTTTTGGCCTCACAACAACCCTGTGAGGTAGGTGACTAGGCCAAAGTCACCCAGTGAGTTCATACATGCAAACAATCACTTGAATACACAGGCATCAGTAAATGATTGTGCATGCGTGAGTTCACCTTTATTTCTTCCCTTCGTTGTTACCTCATTCTTTTTGCTGCTTTGTAAGGACATTGCCGAAAGTCGCCACCTGGGGGCGGCACTCCTCACTCATATTTGGCTTCAATGGGCTTAGCCTTTGCCAAGTTGGGTTTTCAAGGGGATTGAATGTGCAAGCCAAATCCCATCGTCAAACCTGTGTCATCCTGTGCCCCTTTTGGAGTTCTGGATTTTTGCGACAGGCTACAGGGCATTCAAGCCCACACCTCAGTGATCCACAAATTCTGTTCTTCTCACATGAAGGCAAAGGAAAACACTCCCTGTCTGCAAAAAGGGAAATAATAATAATAATTACTACTACTACTACTACTACTAAAAAGGTAAAGGTTCCCTTGCTCGAAAGCCAGTCGAGTCCGACTCTAGGGTTGCGGTGCTCATTTCCATTTCAGAGCCAAAGAGCCAGCGCTGTCCGAAGACGTTTCCGTGGTCATGTGGCCAGCATGACTAAACACCAAGGCGCACGGAACGCTGTTTCCTTCCCACCAAAGTGGTACCTATTTATCTACTTGCAATTTCTTGCTTTCGAACTGCTAGGTTGGCAGGAGCTGGAACTAGAGACGGGAGCTCACTCCATCATGTGGCAACTCGGGTCTCGAACTGCTGAACTACTGACCTTCCACAGCCTGCAGTTCAGCGTCTTAACCACTTGAGCCACCGCAGCTCCTACTACTACTACCACTACTACTACTACTACTACTACTACTATTTAAATTTCTACCCCGCCCTCCAGGCTCCGCACTTTTTGAGTAGTCACACATATCAATGTCACTAATTTGAGAAAGCAGGTAGGGCCAGGTGGGTCTTTAGTCCAGCAAGGCTTCTGATGGGGCATTGGAGATCTGATTGGCTATGCAGATGTTTAAAAATGTTACTTTAGCACCAGCTTCCACCGCAGCACAAGGATGGTCACTGTGTGACTGAAGGTAAGCTGTGGCAGCTATTTTATGGCTGTCTTCACCTCCTGCATCAGCAATGTTGTGGTAGCCATTTTGTGTCTGCACCCAACACACTGTGTCAGAACTCCAAAGGGGGCCACAAGCTCAAAAAGGATGGGGAACCCTGGTTTAGGAGATCATTCACACAGTCCTAATGATGACTCTTGAGAGTCCCTTGGACTGCAAGGAGATCAGATCAGTCAATCCTAAAGGAAATCAACCCTGACTGCTCAAATACTTTGGCCACCAAATGAGAAGGGAGGACTCACTGGAGAAGACCCTGATGCAGGGAAAGCCTGAAGGTCAAAGAAGATGGGGATGGCAATGGATGAGATGGTTGGACAGTGTCATGGATGCAACGAACATGAAATTGAGCCAACTTCAGAGGACGGCGGAAGACAGGAGGGCCTGGCGTGATCTGGTCCATGGGGTCGCGAAGAGTCAAACTGGACTGTGCAACTGAACAACAACAACAACAACAGTGGTGCCAGGGCAATATTGTATCCTCGCCAGAACTATCTCGCTTGCTTTGAGGCTGCAAACCAGCTGAGCCCTCATTGTGGTCTAAAGACTTGATCACAAAGTGATGGCGATAACACCTATCCAAGGATGGCTGCCCGAAAGTTCCAGCAGTGGCCTGCCCTATGCAAAGCTCGGTGTCTCAGTTCGTACCTGGCCCACTGTCTTTGACTTGCAGATCTGTGTGGCTGGGTGAACAGTCCAGCCCCTAATATCTGGCATGTTTTGTTGGGGAGATTGGTGGGTGAGGCAATC